TATTGATTAATCCTGAGAGGATACCAGTGGCAGGAAAGTGAGAAGCTAGGAAAATTTCTGAGCAAGTGGAATAGGGAAACTGAGGCAATAAAATTAAACAAGGCCAAACAACTTGAACAACTTATAGCCAGTTGGTGAACCACAAGACCTTATCTTCCCTAACCAAGGACATTTAGAGCAAATGGTTTATGCCTCCCCTCGCTAACCATAGAATAGATAGCTTAAATCATCCTGGCCTGGGAAAATAGAGACCAAAGACACAATTAATGCTATTTGTGCCAGCTAAACCCAAGGACAGATGAAGTCAGGGGAACAAAAAACAAAAACCCATTAAAGCCAGACAGGTCCAAGTTAAAAAGTAAAACAGTAAAACGGACCAAAGAATAATCCCAAACTCCCTTATACACTCATCATCAGATGGTTGTTCTTGAGCACATCCTGCTTCGAATAACACCTGAAGACTATTAAAAATTCTAACTTCCTCTTTTGCAAAAAGAGCTAAATTGGTGGCTCAATAGTAGTAAACATGATCCAGGAAAAATCACTAACATAGATTCCATTGTCCACCATTTCCATCCAGCTGGAGAATACAGAGACCGTGAGAGTACCCTAACTTAGGAGAGAGAACTAGGAATTAGGAGCATGGACACTGAGCTCTATGCACTATATTTAGGTCTCTTTTGCTTCTAGTATAAAGATGACCAATTTGTACTCACCCAAGTGGGTGAGCTAGTGAACCCTGTCATAATTGTTTCTCACTTCTCTATTTTTCTCACTAGATCAGGAGCCTTGAATGGCTGTCAGGAGACTTAGCTTCAAGTCCGAACATTACTTCTCATCTACTATGATTTTTGAGAGAAATTCTATTAAAATACTAGTGGCCTGGTGCACAGGTTCGTGCACATTGAAAGGAAATTAATTAGAAGAAATATTTTAATATCGCTATTCGCCCTTTCTCTATAATAGAAGTGTCAGAGATGGGAAAAAAAATTAGTAAAATGTATATGAAAATAATATATAAATTGATTAATAAGTAAAAAATAACAACATGATATAACAACAACAAAGACATGAAATAAAAACAAAAAAATGATATAAAAACATTGATAAAAACAGTGACTGATAAATTGATTAAACTTATTCTCCCTGTATAGCACATTAAAAGTAAAAACACTTTCAGAGTGCTTGACCAATTTCCATTGTGATGAAGTATTTACAACTTTAACTTTAACGTCATATGCTCTTCGAACTTGAGAGAAAGCAACATATAACTGACCATGTGTGAAAACAGGTTCAGGTAGGAATATTCCTACTCTGTCTAGAGTTTGTCCTTTTGATTTATTAATAGTCATTGCAAATACTGGCATCACGGGAAACTGTATTCAAATTAATTTAAATGGGAGGCCAGTGACAGATGGGGACAAATATTGTGCATGTGCGAGTCAACATTTATTTTTAAATTGCCAGTGAGTGTCATATGTACCAGCCAGCTGGCCGGTCAGATGGACAGATGGCCGGTCACTTAGACTTTTATATACATAGACTAGAGGCCCGGTGCACAAAAATTTGTGCACTCGGGGAGGCGGGGAGGGGGGGGTCCCCCAGCCCGGCCTGTGCCCTCTCGCAGTCTGGGACCCCTCGGGAGATAACAACCTGCTGGCTTAGGCCTGCTCCCGGGTGGCAGAGGGCAGGCCCAATCCCTAAGTGCAGCCCCTGGTCAGGCTCAGAGCAGGGCCGATTGGGGGGTTGGGGCACCGCCCCCTGTCACACTCAAGGCAGGGTCTATGGGGAGGTTGCAGCGCCACCCCCTGTCACGCACAGAGCAGGGCCAATCAGGGGGTTGGGGCGCTGCCCCCTGTCACTCACAGAGCAGGGCCAATCAGGGGGTTGGGGCGCTGCCCCCTGTCACTCACAGAGCAGGGCCCATCAGGGGGGTTGGGGCGCCACCACTGTCACACTCGGGGCAGGGCTGATGGAGAGGTTATGGCTCTACCCTGTCACACACAGAGCAGGGCC